ACTTTTATATTCAATTTGACAATATAATATTTATTTGAAATCATATAGCGAGATATATCTAACACTTGGTAAAAAAAAAATAGTTGTCTAAATTTAACACATAAATTATATATGATAAAGTATGTTATTAGCTCTATCGCATATTGTACACTAATATCGCATATAAAGACACAACTTCACAGATTATATTTTCTAATAACATAGCCTATTTGATAGACATTTTTTAAAGACTTGTGGTATGGTTGGTTGTAGAAAGAATAAAAAATTACAATGATTCTCAATTAATATGAAAAATCGAATTATTATAACGATAATGGTCACAAATAATTTTTAAAATTGTTATTACTTTATTTATATAAAAATTCGTACTATCAAATGAAATCATAATTTACAACACGTGGGTATAATTTGATTATTGCTTTTAATAAATACTAAAGTTATTTTTATGACAATTATTTTTATTAGGACATAGATTTATATGTGGTTTTTCAAATATGCAAACTTTTTACAATCCTAAAAAAAATTATATTCGACATCAGTCATACCCGATCATAAAAAAATATGAAATTTATTTAATATTATAGAATTGAGATAGATTTGTACGTATATGCGAAAAATAATGGGAAATAATTGGATGCATTTTGAATGCGGATTGTATTTGACAAATCCTATTTAATTCCGATTTCAATTTTTATGACCATTTGATGTACAATTTTTTTTATTTAATTCACCACGCTGCTTAGTTCAATTTTTATTGCCATTATCTTGATGTATAATATTTATTTAGCTAAAAATGTGATATATATATATATATATATATATATATAATATAATAAAAATAAATCCCTAAAACATGGCAAGTAAATAGGAAAGTTCTAACAATTTCTTCTTTTTTTTCCCTAATATTACAAACAAATAATCCTAAATAGACGAGTCACTTGTTTTTTAAAATATTTCCTTAAATAGGAAGTCAAATTATTTAATTAAAAAGTCAAAATTTCTATTTAATTATTTTTCCAACAACCTTTATATATATACTAGTACAGTCCCTGTGCGATGCACGGGCTTTATTATTTCTGTCTTTTTAAAAGGCAATTTTATTTTTAAATTAAAATTATATAATAAAGGAACGGTCATGACATCAATTAATTGCATGCTTAAATTAATTATTTTTTATATATCTAGTAATTTTGCAATTAATGTTATACATGTGATAATTTTGCAATAAAAAGTGATATATATTGTACATGGTGTAATTTCCTTTTTTTTTTAATTGCAAATGGCCCACAAACAGATAGCCCAAATACAATTCAGTTAAAAAAAAGGATCGAACGGTTGACAATAATCAACCGAAATGTACGTGTGAGATCGACCCTATAATAGCATTTGGTCGGCATTAGGTTAAGGCTTGCCATTTGTGCCGCTTCACTCTTTCCTCTCCTCACGTTTTATCTTCGAAATTTTCGATTCTTGTTGAATTTAAGACATAAATTTCGATTTTCTTACTTAGTTATGCTTTCTAGCTCAAGTATCATTTTCGACTTTGAGTTAGCACACTGAAATTCTGTAATTAGTAATATATTAATAGTTTTTATTCAGTATTATGTATTCCTATTTTTTTACAAATTATAATTATTTCAATTTCATATGTTTGTACGATTTTGTTTAGATCGTTTTCAGTTTTCAACAAAATGCAAAGTTTCGTGTACAGTCTTCACTTTTCAGACAGAAAATGATTTTTTTTTAAAAAAAAAAAACTCATTTTAACTCGACTTTGATACCCAGATTGATTTTTTTTTTTT